GGGGGAGGTAGAGAGAAAGAGAGAGGGGGGGAGGTAGAGAGAAAGAGAGAGAGAAAGAGAGAGAGAAAGAGAGAGAGAGAGGGAGGTAGAGAGAAAGAGAGAGAGAGAGAGGGATGGCGGAGAATTTCCTTCCAGCCTTAAACCCGCTTTGAGCCCGACTGGCTGCTGAATGTCGGTTAAAACACAACGGACTCTTATTAATCTCACGTCACGCCATCGGGGTGATGCGTTCAGGACGATACGGAAATTACAGCGTTGGTCACAACAATGGCTACAAACACGTATTAAATATATATATATATATATATTTTAATGGTAACAGGTTACAATAAAAGCTAAATAAAAAGGTGCGGCTGCAGAGCATCAACAAGCTTTAATCATAATCTTAATGGTAGTTGTACGTCGAGCAGCACTATTAAATCTCTCTTTATAATATTTAACATCGGATGTTATCGGGGATTTGTAGCTTTATTCAAATAATACCCAAACACACATTCCCATGATGCTCTCCGCTAACCAGCGGGTATGTTTGATTTGTTCACGCTGGCCTACCGCCGGCACAAAAACGATATCAACTTATTAAAAGAAACGTGCCAATATCAAGAAAAAGTATATGAAGAGAAATTAAAAGGCAAAATATTATTTCCCTCAAACGGATGTCGATTAGTGTCACGTTTAAAAACAGTGGTGTACAATACGTTACAATGTACCTTAAAAGTGGTCTCTTTTGTTACATTACCTGTTTAATTTGTGTATAAAAACATCAAACTAAAGCTAATTAATCAATAATCAGACACGCGGCCCTCTTTGTCTCGTCACAAGCTCCCGGATGAGGCGGTGAACACTAAACACCGCCCAGCAACAACACAACCGGGAGCTCGGGGTCAACACACACAGGCGCTCCCGCTCGTGCACTGCCCTCTAGCCGGGCTCGCGCTTTATAGGCGCGTTCACGTTGTGTATCCAGTGTGTGAGCGAGACCGACAATTCATCATCATCATCTTCATCACAGTCATTCAGTTTACAGACGCGGACCGACTCACAGCTACTGCAATGGTAGGTTGAGCTTTATCTGCCGCTGTGTCCTAAACACGGATCGATCAGGTGCGTTCAGGTGTCTTCAGGTGTGTGCGGTCTGGAGAAGGTTTCTGCTGGTTTTATTCAGGATTGTTTCACTTTGAGCATCAAACGTAGCTCGTAAACCGGAGCTGTGCCGCAGCAGCAGCTAGTGCCGGTGCTAGTGAGCGAACCGGGCGGCTAACAATACTTTATAGTCTTTATATTCATCGCGTTCAGACACAATTCACCGGGCGGTCGTTTGTTTTATGAGTGTTGATGTCGAACCGCATTAAATACTCAACGGCTCCAAACAACTGGCGCCATTTCGTTCCTCTCTCCGTGTTTCACCGACAGACAGCAGCAAGGTTCCGGTCGGTGTTTGCGCCGCATCGTGTTCACGTTGTTTCACCTGTGGTCGTCGATGCTCTCACAGAATAAACAGGTGCAGCAGCGCCCCGGGCTGCCTGTCTGTCTGTCTCTCTGTCTGTCTGTCGGTATTGTTAGCAGAGCTAGCTCCGTTAGCACCGACAGAAGATGACACCATTATGGCGCTAGCTGTGATTTTGTGTTTCTTTGTCTGTACACGGCTCCGCAGCTAGCAGTACTACACACACTGGGCGACTGCGACCTCCAGACCAGGTCCCTGCTCACTCCCGGGGACACCACATGGACAACTTATATGTTTATTCCGATGTACAGTGACACAAATGAATGAATCGACACCGAACCGTCCGGTCGAGTCGAGCTTCGCCTTATATAGCAAGCTAGCGCTCACATGTGCGTGTGCTGCATTCATGGCCCCACCCTGAATTTGGTGCAAAGACCATTTTGTTTGGTGCTGTATTATAACGAACCCGCCGTCAGATTCACTCCACCACCACTTGCTGTGCGGTCATTCCTCCGTGTTTTAAGTTAAAGGTGTCAGATATTTGAGTGAATCGTCACTTTATGAGTCGGCGGTTCGGCTCCTGTTTGGACCCGCTAGCTGAAGCTAACGGGCCGCGGTGTCCGGGTCTTCACGGTCGGTACTGCGCATCTTTTTTTTATCTGCGCATCTAATTTGTACAGCCGTCACGTCATTAGACTACTATACAATACCGACCAGGATTAACGTGTTTGTTCAAATATAACCATCAAACATTACAGAAACATAAGATATACGGATACGACGTATTATGCGTTATTTTCAGCGTCAGTGAAACATAAACAACAAAAAACACAGTTTTGTCTGTCATTTAATGCGTTTTATTTAAGTTTTTGTTAAAGTCCAGCTATTGCCTTTAATTGCTGAGTGAGCTGTTAACAGACATCTGCTCGCTGCACACTTCCTCTTTGCTGTGTGGTTTTTTTTATTGTCAGTTTGGGTATAATCCCATTAGGCCTGTGTGATAATAGTGTGAGGCCTGTAATCTTAACTGTTAATGTGTGGAGGAATTCAAGACTTAGACTGACTAGGTTTGTGTTGAGTCACCTGACCCTTGACTTCTGTTTTTTTGAAGTATCCATGGTTAAGATTAGATAAGGTGAGTAAATCACCATAGTGATACTGGCTGCAACAAAAAAAATAACCAGAATATAAAGTAGCTGGCAAATTAGGCCAAAACAAGGCAGTGGGGAGGAGGAAGAAGTAGAAACAAAGGTACTTTGTTGACTTAACAGATGTAATTTCGTGTTTGTGTGCAGAAAAGTGATGCATGCAAAGAATATGGTCGTCATT